AAGCCTAGCTTACATGTATGAATAGGTCTACAGGGCTAAAACTCTGCTAATTTACTTTTGGAATCTTCTAAGGCTCTCTGCTCAAAGCGGTCATTCTTATCCAATTACAAGGGTGCTTTGAATCACATGGTTTCATCTGCTCGTGCTACAAAAAGTGCTACTGTTGTTGCTGCCAGTATTTTTACGGTCACCAAGGAGCTCTGGTAGCATAGTGCCTAAGGCACTTGACTACTAACCAGAAGGCTGGCAGTTCAAACCCACCAGTCACTCCTCGGAAGGAAGGTTGGGCAATCTATTTCCGTAGTGATACTGCCTTGGAAACCCAAGGAGGGGTCGCTATGAGTTGGGTTCCACTTGACGATATATTACAACAACAACAATTTTGTCAAATTTCCTGGTGTTTTAGCTACAATTATATAGTAGTTTGTATTTGTGAAACTATATCAATATATATTTTTTTAGAATGAATTAGTGATTAAAGGGAAAGAAGGAGAAAAATAAAAAAGCCCTTCTCGATTATTAATAATGTTGTAACTAATAATGATGTAATTCCTTGTAGGAAGATTTTGCCAAACGACCTTGTTAGTGTCCACATAATCCAAGAAATATCACATTTAAATAGTTTACAACTATATTTATCGTGAATCATTCTATGGTTAATATTTATAGAAAATGACTAAGGAGTCCATATAGTCTGGTATGCAAGTTTGTCCATTGTTGGGGGGTAACACCATGAGTTATTGTACTGGGTGACACCAACCCAAGTGATGTCAGCAGAGCCCGAGTGAAGTCTTGGAGGAGAAAGACCTGCAGCTGACAGGCCCATGAGAGAGCCCAGCCAAGATCAGCAGGCCAGTCGTCCCAGGAGTGGCCGTCAACACACTGGTCCATGAGCGGCAATCACTGGCTCTTACTGTAAGCCAGTTTTAGTTGCCTAGTGGTGCTGTGTTAAGAAATATCACATGTGGGTGGCTTCAATGAACAGAATTTATCTTCTCACAGCTCTGGAGGCTAAAAATCAAAATCAGCATCTTGTCCATGCCGTTGCCTTCCGTGAGCCCTGCTTGGGTCTGCTTCTGCTGGTGACCCTCGGCACTCCTCTGCTTGCAGAGAAGTCCTCCCGTGGCATCAATCCTCTTGTGTGTGCATCTGTACATTAATTCTGCTCTTTTATAAGACAACATTCAGAAGGGAAATAGCAGTAGGTCTACTCTACTCTGATATGGGCTCATGAACATAGCATAAGAAAACTCTTTTTCCGTTTTGCAGGTTAGGGACTGGAACTTTCACTTTTTTGGATGGGGGCACAATTCAGTCTTAACAGCTATTCAGTTAGGGAGAGAGATTCAGTTTATGTGTTAACTTGGCTGGTCCTGGTTGAGTGGCTAGGCAGCTGGATGTAGTATTCCTCATGATGAGACTGGCAATCAACTCCATGGTGGGATCTACCACAAGCAGCTGAGTAGCTGCCTTTGGGATGTGGTGTGCTTCCTGTATATAAGGAGAAGCCTTGGGAATGGTCTCTAGCCTACGGCATGCTTGGACCCTGCATGTAGCTGTGTTCAGCAGCCTGCCATGCTCTGCCAACCTAGGGACTTTCAATGGACTTAAATCAATGGCCTGCCATGTGGATTGGTAACATCAGGACTGTGCATTTTTACTCGTCAAACTTGGGACTTCTCAGCCTCAGCAGCCAGCAGCTGTATGAGTGAAGAAACACCTCTAGCTCCAGTGGGCCGGGAGCAGGAGGCAGAGCTGGACTCCAAGGTTGAGGGGCTTTCACCCAGCCCCTGGAGCCTGGCACTTTGAACTTGGACTTAAAGCCCCTGAACTGTGAGAGAGTAAACTCCTGTTTGTTAAGGCCATCCCATTGGTGGTGTATTCTCTTTAGAGCAGCACTGTTGTTGTTATATGCCGTCGAGTCGGCCCCGACTCATAGCGACCCGTCCTTGGGTTTCCGAGGCAGTATCACTATGGAAGTAAGATTGACCAACCTTCCTTCCGAGGAGTGGCTGGTGGATTTGAACCGCCAGCCTTCTGGTGAGCAGTCAAGTGCCTTAGGCACTATGCTACCAGAGCTCCTCAGAGCAGCACTAGGGAACCAGAACAGACAGTATGATGTTGTTGCTGTTGAACTGATACACCAAAATTCAATCTTTATTTTACTTGGCCTTTAGCATCAGAAGAATGTTTAGCAGAAGCCAGTGTTACAATAATAGGCCATAAAGCTTCTAAGGAGATTGTTGTGATTATTGTTAAGTGCCATCCAGGTGGTTCCAACTCACAAGGACCCCATGTACAACACAATGAAACACTGCCCGGTCCTGTGACATCCTTACAGCTGTTCCTGTGTTTGGGCACACTGTTGCAGCCACTGGGTGAATCCATCTCATTGAAGTTCCTCCTTTTCTGGCTGACTCTGCTTTACCAAGAATGATGTCCTTCTGCAGGGACTGGTCCCTTGTGATGACATGTCCAAGGTACATGAGATGAAGTCTCGCCCTTCTCGCTTCTAAGGAGCATTCAGACTGTACTTCTTCTAAGAGACATTTGTAAAGGGATGGAGCTTGTAAATGTCATACTTTGAATTCAAGGATCTCAACTGTTACCTGCCCTCATTGGTCAGTTAGTTCCTGTCAAAACATAAAGGAGGAACACAGACAGACCCTAAGTAGAGCCAGTAGCAGAACCAGGATTAAAACCTCTGCTGTTCTCTCCCCATGCCTTGGGGGTGTTGCTGTTGCCAGGTGCCCTGGAGTCAATTCCAACACATAGCAACCCCATGTGACAGAGCTGACCTTCTCTGTAGGGTTTTCAAAGCTGTAATCTTTATGGGAGCAGATGGCCAGGTATCCCTCCCATGGACCATCTGGGTGACTTAGAATCACTAACCTTTCAGTTAGTCACTGTTGCCCGCCAGGGCTCACTCCTTAGACATTAGAAGGGCATGTCTGTCTCAAACCCTAGAGCCTATCATCCTATTGTTGCTGACAAGCTGAGCTGCCCAAGTTAAAGGAGAACTTGGAGGGACAGTCATGAGCAGACACAGGGGCTGCCAGCAGCATGGGCACCAGCCTGGTCTGATTCCTAAAATTATGCAGTCAGTCTTCATGGCGAGTTCTCAGTTTCACATAAAGCACCAAGCACATCACTACTGCCCTAATCTTTCACCCAGTTTGTGAATTGAAAGGTCATTACATCAAAATTTCCTTCTCTGGTCCCTAGAATGCTGTCTCTTCACACCTTAGAGGAACTTTCTTTATGTTCAGGTTGACAGGCCACCTTTTCTAGGCGGGTGGGTGCTACGCAGGTAGAATGAGTGCTGGGAGATCTAGGCTGCTCTGAGGCTGTGGTGGGTCACCTGACTGCCCATCATCACCTCTCTTGGGGCTTTGTTTTCTCATCTGGGAAATGCAAAGATCAGGGAGAGGAGCTCTTAGTCCTTCCAAGCTGGGAAGTTAATGGACACTATTGTTTGAGCATTTCAAAGACATTGTATTTTAATACTTGGTATAAACAAGTAATATTGAGAGTGGCCCTAATCTTCCAGAAGAGAATGAATTACAGAAGTTCTTTTAAGATCCTCAGGCAAAATTCAACCAACACTTGTATGCAACCTAGCTGCTAGTTTAAGGGATGTTGAGAAATGACAGACACAGAGCAGAAGTG